CTTCTTTTTTATTCTATCCTTAAAATCTGAATTTAACCACAGCAGTAATACCAAAACCAAACCCTTTGCTGTTAAGTCAATTCTGACTCATGGCAACCCATGGATTAACAGAGTAGAACTGTTCCACAGGGTTTTCTTGGCTATTATCTTTACAGAAGCAGATCATCAGGCCTTTCTTCTGCAGTGCCACTGGTGGGTTTAATCCACCAACCTTCAAATTAGCAGTTGAGTGCAAACCATTTCTGCCACCCAAGGACCTCCAATAATACTAATACAGGTACAATTACAATCTCCATTTTATAAATGAGAAAATTTACCAAGATCATGACAAGTGGTGGAGTGGCAATTCAAACTCAGGCAGCTGAACTTCAGGATATGTGTACTGAAACTTTACCCACTGTTGTTTCTCTAATAGGTAGAGGACAAGAAGACACCCCAGTGAAAATAAATGACACAGCAGAAACGAACATGGGAAGTCTGTGGAATAAAAACTCAAAAATTCAATTTGCTAGGCCAGAATGTAAGGAAGATGGCAAAAAAAGATAAGGAAACCCAGTACAGTAAAACCTAGTTTCCATTACTATGCAAACCTTAAAGTTGTTTTGCTTTTTTTTAAAGGGTGGGATGGTGGTGATTGTGGCTGAATACATATTTGACTGATAACAGTTTTAAAATTTTGAGATCACTTAGCTGTTTTATATTCCTAGCAAAAGTAAAATTTTGATTTTCATTTCATAAAACAATTAACTTGTTACATTAACTTATTTTGAGATATGGTATCATACAGTATCTCTGTGATAAAGGAACAGATGGTAACAGTCTGAAAAACCAAGAAATAAAGGAGTTACACATTTAATCAGCAAATCAGGCCTACCTCAATTATTTACTAGGTATTTGTCCGCAAGGGATACTGTGTAAACAGGCATGCACATCTTAAATACACATATAGGAGCTTACAAAAAAATCCCAAATCTAAATCATTTAAAAATATTTCTTTAAATAAGGTGTTTAATGTTTTAAAATGATTTATCATTTTATACAATATTTTACAAATGAAACACTTCTGTAATTGGCACTGTAATCTGGAGATTAAATTTCATTTAGTAATGATCATTTAGATTGATGGGAAAAAAATATGGTTTAAGCTAATTACATCTTGCTAATATGATCATCTAAGGAGACCTGGTGGTCCATGGTTCAAACCCATCAGCAGGTCTGTGGAACAAAGACATGGTAGTCTGCTTTATAAGGATTACAGCCTTGGCAACCCTATGGAGCAGTTACATTCTGTCCTATAGGGTCTCTATGAGTCAACTGACACAATGGGAAAGGATTTTTTTTGGTGTTGGTGGGGTTGGGGGGGTTAATGTGATCATCTGTTCTGGTTAATGAATGAAAATGCACAAGTAAATAAAAATCCCAAGTCTAATCTTAAACCTTACTTCAGACTTTCCCAATAATTGTATCAGGAAAACTAACTAAAATGACTGATTTGAGAAATTCTACCCTTCATGTAAATATTCTATTGGAAATTCAGTTAGAAATACTCAAAATCAACTGAAATTTCATTCTACAAATGGAGTGACCTTCAAAAAGGTGGCAAAATTATTCTGAATAAAAATATTTCTTTGTGAAGAAAATATAAAAAATTGTATTAATAAAAATGTCTATCATTCATCAATTACCATGGGCCAGACACTTTACATTACACCATTTTACATAAAAGGGAAACTGAAGCTTAATCAATTGGCATAACATACTATACAAAAACACTGTTCCACATCCTACTTTGGCGAGGAGCGACTGGGATCTTAAAAGCTTGCAAGTGGCCATCTAGATGCAATGATGGGTATCTCCTTGTCCAGAGCAAAGAAGAACGAAGAAAATCAAAGATGCATGGAAACAATTAGTCATATAGGCAATCCTCAGCCTATGTGACTATGACACCGTAAGAACTGGATGGTGCCCAGCTACCACTGTCAACCACTTGGAAGTGGATCTATGTAGATCTTGGATAGGCAGAACAATGTGGGACAAACTCAAAATCATTAAAAAAAAAAAAAGACCAGGTTTGCTCGTCTGATAGAGCCTGGCAGAACCTGAGACTATGGCCCCTAACTGCCCTCCAGGTCTGGAACTGAACCCACTCCTGTGGCTTCTGGCCAAACAAAAGCAAGCACATGAGCTGAACATTTACATGATCTTGGCGAGATCAATCACGGGAGAGTAAGGGCTGTGTATGCAGAGGGAGACAGTTTGGGGGGCAGGAGTGCATGGGAGTGAAGGACACAGGGAAGAGATAACTACAGGGAGGAAATGGGAAGAGAGCTGTTACATTCTGAGAAATTGCAGTCAATGTCATGAGACAGAGTGTATGTGAACTGCTGTATGGAAAATGAACATGCTCTGTAAACTTTCACCCTAACCACAATAAAAATTTTATTTAAAAAAAGGAAACTGAAGTTTGACAGGGTAGTCATAAATCCACTCAACTAGCTAACCCTTAAATCATTAATCTAAGGAATAGATTATGGATTGAAGATGGAAAAAGAATTCTGAAAATTACGTTCCTCTATCTGCCTAAAATGACAGGTTTTGTTTCTTCAATCAAAAAATAATGTTTTCAACAATAGTAGTAAGTGTTTCCAAAGTTATAATCTAGTCTTTACAGGGCTATGTATACTCCCACATCACACTATCTTTAGAGCTACAGGGAAAAGACTTGACCTTAGGCTCCACTAGTTACACTTGTAACTGAAATGTATAGAGGGGCCTTTCCCATACCAGAAATTGTGGGGGCTTCAAACATCTTATTTAATATCCACAAAACCCACAAAAGGTGGGTGGCATTACTTAATTTCACAGCTAAAAAAAATATTGAGATCCAGAAAGCCCAAGATTATGCTGCTAAACTATAGCCAAACTAGGCCTGGAAATCAGGATCTGAATCCAAAACACCATCCTTTCCGTTAGTCTACCTAATCATAAATAAAATAAATTCTCTGTATATCCCTTCCCTCCTAAAACATAAGAGAGCTAGGAAAACTGGTGTCATACTGCAGGTGGCTAAAAGATCAGGGTTGTCCAAAAGGGACGCTACTAACAACATGTGAGTACTCAGCCCCTGAAGTGTAAACAGTAATTTAGTACGAAATAGAATAATCAGCTCGTTGTATTTTCAGAGCTTTAGTAACTTACACAACAATTTCAACGTCAGAAACTGTTTTGGCTGAGCAACCTAGTTGTCTTAAGTTACAAAAATACTCCTTACTGCAATAAATTTGCTTTTCTATACTGTTGCAAATGAAGATGCCTTTGAAATTCAAAGTAGAGCACTAAGATGTCGCAGGTATGAAATAAGACTGAGCCACAGGAAAAGCGCAGCCCTTTGGACTTCCTTGCCATTTCTGTAGCATTCACTCATTATCTTGGAAGCATTTACAGCGAAGCTACCAAGAGGGTTTAAGAATGCTGCAATGATAGGGCCCAGATTTACTAAGTCAGTCTCGGGCTAGAATCCATAAATACAAAAACACAACTTTCGAGTTAAGAATAAACACCAAAAAACAGGGTGAGAAGCAAGAATTAAAAAAACAAAAAGAAACAAACAAAAACTTAAATTGTAACGCATGCTAGTCTGCATTTTCACAACTGAAGCAGTGTTGGTGAGGGAATGGGAAAAAAGCCTTTCCACAAAATGGAGGGAACCGGGAACAGCCTTAGGGTCAGACAAGTGTTGCGAATCGAGAGGCAAACGCCATCTCTTTCCCCAGCCCAGCTCGGGTGCGCGCACGGGCGCAGCCTCGCCAGGCGCACGCCGACAGCGCCAGGCCTTAGCCTCACCACGCGGAGGGCCGGGTCGCGCCGGCACGGTGGTAACTGCAGCCGCAACGAGAAGAGGATGTACGCCGAAGGAAGGCACCAGGCCCAGGGCTAGGGAACCCACTCACGCTCTCGCAGTCTGTTCTTGAAATTTGGGTCACTCCGTCTCTTGCGGTCGAAGTAAATGCAGTACCCGATGAAAAGGGCGCCGCATACACCGGCGGCGATGGCGCTGTTCCGACCCACCATTTTCTATTGACTGCGGGGTGTGGGTGGCAGCGGGGTCAGCAGTAGCCCGCGAAGGACCCACCAACAATGAACCTTCTTCAAACCCAACTACCCGGCAGCTGAGGGACGCGGACAAGGTTCCGGGCGTGCGTCACTTCCGGCCCCGTCGTCGTCCTAAGTGGTGCGGGGGTGGGGGTGGGGCCGTCTAGAGCACTGCCTGAGAAGGCGACAGCTCCTATGCGCCTGCGTACACAGGCGGCCGTGGAGCCGCGCTGCAGGGCCTACGAACACGCCCCGCAGAACCTTGGGGCGGGGCCACGAAGTCGCGTAGTGATACTGTGATGGAGCACAGAGGGATTCAGTAATTGATCGCTCACTTTCTTTGAACCTGGAAACAGAATTAGCTGCGGGCCGCTGTCATGCGGCCCCATAGGAGCTGGTATAGCATTTTGTCAGAGAAAGATAGTCGCTCGCTGACGACAGTTTGTTCATTTTATTCCTCCCTGGTGGCATTAGTGTCTGCTAACCAGAAAGCTGGAGGTTCAAACCCACCAACCATTCCTCCCAAGGAAGATTGGGCAATCTGCTTCCGTCGAGATACCTCCTGGGAAACCCAAGGAGGAGGGCTCGCTATGAGTCGGATGCAACGCGTAGGCAGTTAGTTTGATTGTTTTGTTTTGTGTAATACAAAGTAGCTCTGGTGGTGTAGTTGTTAAGGCATACAGCTCTTGACCAAAGGTCGCCAGTTAGAACCCACCAGCCGCTCCTAGGGGAAGCGATGAGGCCGTTGGCTTCTGGAAAGGTTTACATACAGCCTTGGCAACGCTTTGGGGCAGTTCTACTCTGTCCTGTAGGGTTTCTATGAATTAGAATCGACTGGATGGTTTTTTGCTTTTGTAACATGCAGCCTGTGGCTCTCGTTTAAACTGAATTTGCTTTCAAGTTCACTCACAAGCCCCTGTACAATGAACATCATAATCTAATTACTAAATCCAAATTTCAAAAGAATGTTAAATACTGTCTAATTTAAGAGTGGAAAGAAATTAAATGGAGTAATTCCTGGAAAAAAATAAGCTATGAAACAAGCTGAAGAAAAAGAAAAGGTGACTATCCAATGATGACATTGGTAGTTTAAAATACTCCCACGAAGTAAACCTTGGGCCTGTTGATTTTACAGAGGAGTCCTACCAAATAACATAACACTGTATGAGAGCTTTAAATTTAGAGGCACTTGGTGGCTGTAAATGGAGGCATCTAAAAACAAAGCCTTAACTCCATCTTAATAGTCTTGACATGAGCCTTCGAAACCATGTTGAATTGTAAAGCTGCTTTTTGTAACAGCAGTTTCTCTAACCTTGATGCTGACCAGATACCCTGAAGGAGACATTCTTTTCTCTGAGGTCTGGCAGATGCAGAGTATAAAGATCTATTCCCAAAGGGTCTTTTTGCAGTGTAATGAAACATGCAACATGTGATATCCAAAGGGTATATCCAAAGGGTCTTGATAACACAGCATCATCAATTGATCTTTACAGTGGATCCCCAGACAGACATGATTGAGAAAACAATTTTTATAGCAAGTTACTCAAAAAGCCCACATATATGTTATCCACCTATCCCTGTTAAATCTCCACTTTTAGATATTCTACCTTTGACTCCCAGGATTGTCTTTCAGCCAATTATGATTTTGTAACTTTTAGTTCCTGCTTCCACTATACAAAATTGTTTTCTTCCTCATTGTCCAGAAGCCTAGCCATCTTCACAGTGTTTATTTTTAACATATATTTATTTTTAACATAAAATTTAAAAGATTTTGTATATCCTGTTTCCAGTCTGTAGGTGGTGGTGGTGGCTGCCACTCCTGCTACTACCAACTCAATAGTCTTGGCCTTGCATAATTTGTTTATTGCCTTAGTTAGGTATTGGTTTGGGTCAGGAATTTAGAAGCGGCTTAGACAGTTCTGGCTCTGACTCTGAGGTGGTCGCAGTTAGGATGTTGGTAGGCACTGCAGCCAGCTAAAGGATTGACTTTGTTGCTGTTGAGTCATTTTCAACTCAAGGCAACCCTGTGTGTGCAGAGAACTATGCCATAGGGTTTTCAAGGCTTTGGTCTTTCAGAAGCAAATCATTAGACCTGTCTATAAAGGTGCCTTTGGGTGGGTTCGAACCACCAAACTTTTGGCAGTAGTTGAACACTTAACTATTTGTGCCATCCAAGGGATGCCATAAAAGTTTGACTGCCATTACCACCGAGTCAGTTCTAGCTCATAGCCACCCCATACGATACAGTAGAATTGGCACATAGGGTTTCCAAGGCTGTAATCTTTATAGAAACAGACTGCCACATCTTTCTTCTGTGGGTTCAAATGAACAAGCTTTCATTTAGCAGCAAAGTCCTTAAACACTGCTCCACCGGGGATCCTTCAAAGGCATGAGGAGGGGTGGAGAAACAGTTCCAAGATGGCTCACTTACATGGCTGTTGACAGGAGGCCTTCATTTTTCAACCCATGGACTTCCAATGTCATTTGGCAACAAACTTCGACAGAGAATAAATATGAGATAGAAGAGAAACAAGCCACACTTCTGCGGTCTAACTTCAGAAGTGACATTAACTCAATTCTGTTGCATGTTAGTGTTCATAGACACCAACCTTGACAATGTGGGAGGGAACTACACAGGACATAAACTCTGATAGATGGATCATTGGGGAACATCTTAGAGATGGGCTACCACAGCTCCAAAATACTCTCCTTACTATATTTGATCTTAACTCTTTTATTTTCCTTCCAGTTATTTACTAGAGGAGTACTGAGTGGTACTTACAAGAAAAAAGTGGTCAACCAGTCAATTCGTACCCATGTATATAATAGTAGAACTACATTCCATAGGGTTTTTAATGGCTTATTTTGTAGAAGCAGATCTACTATGCTAGGAACGACAAATCGAAGAGGAATGGCATGGCATTCATTGTAACAAAGAATGTTTCAAGATCTATCCTGAAATACAGTGCTGTCAGTGATAGGATACTATTCATATGCCTACAAGGAAGATCAGTTAATACTACTATTATTCAAATTAACACACCAACCACCAAAGCCAAAGACGAGGAAATTGAAGATTTTTACCAACTTCTGCAATCTGAAATTGACCAAATATGCAATCGAGATGTGTTGATTATTACTAGTGATTGGAATGCAAAAGTTGGAAACAAAGAGAATCACCAGTAGTTGGAAAACATGGCCTTGGTGATAAAAATGATGCCGGAGATCTCATGAAAGAATTTTGCAAGACCAACGACTTACTCATTGCAGATACCTATTTTCAACAACATAAATGCAGCTATACACGTGGACCTCACCAGATAGTATATACGGGAATTAGATTGACTACATCAGTGGAAAGAGGCAATGGAGAAGCTTAGTATCTTCAGCCAAAACAAGGTTATGAGCTGACTGTGGAACAGATCATCAACTGCTCCTATGCATGTTCAAGTTGAAGCTGAAGACAATTAAAACAAGTCCACGACAACCAAAATATTACCTTTATTATGTCCCTCTTGAATTTAGAGACCATCTAAAGAACAGATTTGATGCATTGTACACCAGTGACTGAAAACCAGAGGAATTGTGGAATGACATCAAGAACATCATCCATGAAGAAAGCAAAAAGGTCATTAAAATGACAGGAAAGGAAGAAAAGACCTAAATGGATGTTAGAAGATACTCTGAAACCTGCTGTTGAATAGAGTAGCTAAAGCAAATGGAAGAAATGACAAGATAAAAGAGCTGAACAAAAGATTTGAAAGAGCAGCTAGAGACAACAAAATGAGTTATTAATATAATGAAATGTGCAAAGCCATGGAGTTAGAAAACCAAAAGGGAGGAACACACTCAGCATTTCTCAAGCTGAAAGAACTGAAGAAAATACTCAACCCTTGAGTTGCAATACAGGATTCTATGGGCAAAATATTGACTGATGCAGGAAACATCAAAAGATGGAAGGAATACACAGAGTCACTGTACCAAAAAGAATTGGTCAATGTTCTTCCCTTTCAGGAAGCAGCATATAATGAGGAACCAATGGCATTGAATGAAGAAGTCAAAGCTGCACTTCAGCTTTGAAGGAATTGGTGAAAAACAAGGTTCCAGGAATTGACAGAATACCATTGAGAAGTTTCAAAAAACAGATGCCATGCTCAGGGCACTCACTTGTCTATGCCAAGGAAGTTGGAGGAGAACTATCTGGCCAACTGACTGGAAGAGATCCATATTTGTACCCACTCCAAAGAAAGGTGATCCCACAGAATGTGGAAATTATCAAACAATAGCATTAATATCTGTAGTAGTTAAGTTTGTGTGTCAACTTGGCTGGGCCTCGTTGAGTGGCAGGGCAGCTGGATGTAGTATTCCCCATGATGAGACTGGTAATCAACTCCATGGTGGAATCTACTGTGAGCAGCTGAGGGGTGTGGTCTGCTTCTTGTATATAAGGAGAAGTCTTGGAGAATTGTCTCTAGCTTATGGCACACTTGAACCCTGCATGTAACTGTGTTGTTGTTTGGCAGCATGCCATGCTCTGCTGACCTTGGGACTTTCAATGGACTTGAATTAATGGCCTGCCATGTAGTTTGGTAACATCGGAACTGTGCCTTTTTACCTTGGGTTTGTCAGTCTCAGCAGGCAGCAGCTGTCTAAGTGAAGAAAAGCCACCAGCTTCAGTGGGCCAGAAGCAGGAGGCAGAGCTGAAGCCCAAGGTTGAGGGGCTTTCACCCATCCCCTAGAGCCTGGCACTCTGAACTCAGACTTAAAGCCTCCAAACTGTAAGAGAATAAACTCCTGTTTGTTCGAGCATCTCATTTGTGGTATATTCTTGTCAGAGCAGCACTAGGTAACCCGAATAATATTAACATGACATGCAAGTAAAATCTTGCTGAACATAATTCAAAAATGATTGCAGCAGTGTACTGATAAAAAACTTCCAGAAATGCAAGATGGTTTCAGAAGAGGACGTGGAACAAGGGATATGATTTCTGATATCAGATGGACCTTTGCTGAATGCAAAGAATACCAGAAAGAT